CCCCCCCTTGAATACCGTTGATTGGTTGCTTAAACTTTTACTAACTCTACCTCTCTATATTATTGTACACGCCTGATGATGAATTAATCGGAAACGTTCGTTCGTCTATCTTGACTAACTTCTTTTATTACCTATTACTCTGCATTCCCACAAGTGCTTCAGCCGTAGTTATTCCCTTTACCAGGTATGCATAACTCATCCTCACTCTTTTTCATTTTCTCTGTTAGGCCCGCAACTGGAGGACTGGAGTGACGACATGGATCTGCGCATAAACACGGCCATTACATCTGCCAAGGAGCGAAATATGATTTCAGCGGGCGACACAGTAATCATAGTCGTTGGTTCATTGGCTGGTGAAGGCAGCACCAACACCATGCAGATATTCCACGTTCCAGACGATCAGCGCACCCTAAAGGTGGTCAGCTCGAAAAACGATCTCGCCTATGCCGAATTGGCCTCAGATGCTGTGAAGACCTCTGATGAGACAACGCGTCTTCGAGGTACAGAGTTGTTGGTACCCCTTTAGAAGTTGTATCTCACGTACCGCCCCCTTCCCCCCCCCACGCTCCCGACTGTTTTAGTGTCCTACTCTTAGAGCTTTGGACATCAACAAACAGCGACCGCGGGGCGTCCTATTTCTGTGTAGGTGCTAGAGAGGAAGCGGTTTCTTTTGTAATCAATATACAAACGCACAGTACCCTGTTGACCTACTTTTTGAAACCTTGACCTTCATGGTTACATTTTGTAACAGTCAAAATTATTATTCAACCAACTGTGCATTTTTGTACTTGATCGCAATGAGAACTTACTGCATACCATATTTCTCGTTTGAACCTTTATCGGTATGCTTGATGGCTTTTACAAAACCTGCGTTCGCTGCCGACTTGCGTCTTTAGAACCCATTTACAGACTCGGGTTGAGCTGCCTATGTGTTTATTCTATGCTGATCGATGCGCCATGATGTATCGAAACTGGAAAGTTCTTTCGATTAAGCAGAATCCAGTTGATTACGCGAAAAAATGGGTTGTGCTCTGGCGCTCAGGCATCTTAGAACCGAGTACCTAACAAGATTGTTTGTCCACCAACTGTCTACAGACGCCGCGCCAAATTCATTAAAGTGCTCTCCGTTAGATATTCATCCATTTTCCCATTCATTACTGTCTATATCACTGGACCCTGAAATGCATGTTAATTTTTTCTGCCTAGTGCCTGTTGGCTCATTTGCAAATAAGTTCGGAACAGACACCTGAAGTTACACGGTATGCGCAGTTTGACCGTCACTTTCGAAGAGGTCCAACGTGTGCTCCACAGCAGGGTAGTGGTATCGCTAGAAACAGCGAGTCATATTACCGAGTCATCATCATGCCAAGAATCAAGAACGGTGATCAAATTTGGCTAATTACTGACTTGGAAGTGGACTAACGAACAATTGTCTTGTCATTAACGACAGCCAGCGATGAATGTAGGATCTGCTAATTGAATTAGACACGCGACTGCTTGGAAAATGCGTACTATAAATACTGCACCCCTGGCAGTCCCGTCTTTCTTATTAGCAGCTGTCCTTGATAATGGATTCGAGCGAGAATCCAAAACGTCAGGGCAATAAACCCTATGTTCTCGAGATCGCATCTTCCTCTCCTGAACTGGTAGTTTATGCTTTCGTTGCAGGTGCCTTGCTGGCCAACTGCGAGTTATTCATTGAAACCATTTCGTCCTCAACGTCAGTGATATGCGCGGGAAATGTTCGATACTTTGGCTACTTTATACTGTCAGTAAGAGCATGGTTCGAATCCTCGCACGCCCCCATTTACTTGTTACTCTGACCAGGCAAGTCCTTAGCACTTAACAGGCAGGAAGGAGGCCGTTCTGTTTCTTGATGGTCTGCGGACCAGAGAAGCATGACTCAAAAACCTCGCGAAGCACACGATATGTAAATTTCAGGAGTAATACCGGTTTCGTCCTACTTACTGCTGATGCGTGTTTGTCCACCAGCCTCCGGAGTTTCTTCGAAGTATTCGCGTGCTAGCTATTGTGCCAGGTCAAGTAAATTGCTGCATACATTCCTTGTTGTAAAGAGTAATTCGGCCTAATGGCTTCGTCTCTAATTATTACTGAGAATGACACGAGAGGGTGCCTAAGGACGTAATCTACGTAGACAAACGCTGGCCTTCATTTGGGTTGGACAAATTTTATCTCTTCATGCATCGGCTGCCATTTTGCGTGGCGTTCATTCGCTCTGAGCACCTATCGAAGGAATCGTAAACTGGCAGCTTTGTCTTCCGGTTCCCGCGGTGCGTTTGAAGGCACCAATACCCCCCCCCACGCAACTGCGTTAGTGGATGATTGGAATAACACGTTCACTTCACGCATTGGCCTGGTTAGTCACTTGTGAGTCTACTGCACAGATACTGACGAATCAGTGCCTCGAGTACCGACACAGCAGAAACCGCCGCCTCCACTGTCCACAATATTCTCGCGCATTCACTCACTGCAGGGGGCTACTCGGTTATATGCGCATCCATAACAACAGAATTCACCACAAGGCCGACACATCCTGCACATCCAACAACAATCCCATCTCGGTCTGCGCGACCACCAACAACAGCCCCGTTGTCTCAGCATTTCCAGATCTACCCTGCCCTCGTTGCCGCTGCACATTGCGCATCGGCCTGATCAGTCGCTTGCAAATCCACCGCACAGAAACTGGTAAACCAGTGTCTGGGACCCCGACATACAATCGCCGCCTCCATCTTAGCTGTGCACACTGTCTACGTACATTCGCACAC